CCCCCCCCCCCCCCCGCCCCGCCCCGCCCCGCCCCCTCCTCCTGGAGTGGGGCTAGGGGGGGGCATGATGCTCCAGCATCTTCTCTCGGTTGATTGGCTCATGTGTACTCTGCGGTGCCACCGCCGCTCGGTGGGAGCGTTGATCGGCTGAGCTCGGGACGGGCGCACTCCCGTTGTCGTCCCTCGCGCCGGCCCCCCCTCCCCCCACAGATGTACGCCCAAGATGGCGCACGGATGAGATGCCACGCTCGGCAGCACGCCCCGGCGAGCACGCAACAAGGCACGACGCACTTCGGTCGCCCCACCCCCCCTAGGAGGGGGCCCAAGGCGCGCGGCGTTGCCGGGAACCCCCAGTGTGAGACTCCAGCAACTTACCCTCACATTCGCATCGGTGCGCCGGGAGAGGGCACGCCAACCTGGACGAGGCTGGTGCCTCTGCCGCCGTCAATTTCACCGCCCTGCACACATCCAACTCGCAGGTCGCGAAGATCATCCTGCCCGGCTACTGCAAAGTATCCCCAACTTGGTAAAGGTTTTCATATCGGCCACCCGGGCAAATACCATTCACAAAAGAATCATGGGCACGGCGCATCCACCGGGCCGGGGTCAGCCCGGCATCGGAGGCCCACGCTCCTGCAGGCTGGGATCAGCTGCGCCTGGTCGCCGATCACCGGGGTGGAGTGATTCCCGCCCTCCATTTGTCCTGGCGTCGTTGCCGATGGCTTTCCGGCCCCCCCCCCCTGGCCCGGCCGCATTCACACGGTAGTACTTCCCTCTTCCGAGCATGCCTTCCACAACCCGGCACCGCGCCCCCCTGCGCGCGTAGCTCATCCTCTTCTCCAGGGACCGATATCCCATCATCCGGACATCGACACCGCTGTCTGTTCCATCCCCTGGGGGGGGGGGGCCGGAAGGGCGGCGAAGAGTTGCTCGCAGCTAGGGGGGCCATACACGCCCCCAGGACCGGCTTTGGGAGGGCGCCCGGAAAGGAGCGCCCATTTCTCACCGGACCTCCTCCCTTTTTTTCCCCGGGGCCCGGAGAACGTGCGTACAAATACGCCTCTTGTGGAGGATGCTCAGGCCCCTGTGTTTGGAGACTCTCGGAACACGGCGAATAGGCCACAACCGCGGGCCTCTCGCTGGCAGAGGGCGAGAACCGGGGAGCGAATCCCGGCCGTGCCTGTCGATACGCGATCAGCGGTCTCCCTTTTCCACGCCCGCCTTGGACCTCCCCCCCCCCCCTCCCCCCTCGAGTCCCGGGGGCTCTGCCGTGTGCGGAGACGGAAACTTTCACATGCGAGGACTCGCCTGCGCGGGCCGGACTCGCAGTGTGCGAACTGGGGATCCCTTTTTCACACTTCTCCCCGCGCGTTGGGGCCGGATCCGACGAAGGGATGCCACCGACCGGGGTGCCCTTTCCACCGCCTCCACGGGCCGGCGACTCGAGTGCCATCTCCCGGGCGGCCTTGGATGAGGGCACCCTCGCTCGGGGGAAACCGGCCGTGCATTCTCCTCGTGCTGTTAATTTGGTCTCCCCGCACGGCCACCGCCGAAAGCTCTTGTGGCCCAAGCTTGCTTCACCCCTGTCCCCCTCCTTCCCGTGGGACCATTTCGCCGCTTCCCTGACCCCGGCCGGAGCGGATCCAATCTGTCACTTGCCCCGCCCCCCCCCCCCCCCTGCTTCTGTTCCCCGTGCCTGCCAGAGATCTAGGCCATTGTGTGACTAGCCCCAGCGAGCGAGGATACGGCGCCTGGGGCCCCCCCAGTCGTGGTGCTCTGTCTTGGCACCACGTTGTGTTGTGTCCCGAGCCGGGGCTGGAGCCAAGTGCCAGGCATGATCGCCCCCTCCCTGGCCCTGGTTGTGTCCAAATCAGCTTGCTCATTTCTCCGTCGCCGCGGCTTCCACCGCGTCGGAACGGAAGGTGGCCGAGTCGACGCCTGTTCCTCCGCCCTGCCAGGCTGGTGTGCTGACGCCGCACGTGTCCCTGCTTCATCGGCCACGTATCTGCCAGATCCTGACAGGATCATCAGTCAGCCCTCTCCCATCGCGCCTCTCCCCATCCACTGCCCCATCTTCCTGTCTCCCCCCTGGCCAGCTCCCTCTTCCCTCCTCCCCCCCGCCCCCCCCCTCCTAAGCGCATCTCACAGGGAGACGTGCACAGGCACCGAGCCCACAATACGGCGCCCAAGATGGCGGCCGTCCACGAAGCCGACCTCGGCTCTAGAGATGCCCTCCCGGCGCATGAGATCATCGAGTTGGTGCTGGAACACTCGCGTGCCGGCCGCCCATATCAAGTCCTCGGCCTGGAGGCACCGCTCTTGTGGGACCAGCCCCCCTCGGATGCCGCCGTCCGGCTTGCCTTCCTTGGCCGGTCGCGCCTCATCCACCCGGACAAGTGGTACCCACCGCCTCACGCCCCGCTGACCATCCGCCCGGGGGCTTTTCCCTCCTCCCGTCCGCCTCTGCCCTGGTCCGCCCGTAGGTGGGACAGCCGACAGCAGGCCGGTTTTTAACCATCTCCCTCCCCTTGACCCGCCTCCTGTGCGGCGCCTTCCCCCCCCCCCCCCTTCGGACGGGGCTTTGCCGGGGCAGCTCGCACCCCGAAGCCACTGCCGCCTTCCAGGCCTTGAGTCATGCGTACAACGCCGTGGCCGAGGGCGGCTCAATTGGCGGCGCGGCCGATGCGGCGGACCTCCTGTCCTTTCAGTTCCCCCGGCCGGCGGTGTTCCGTCGCGCCACGGACCTGTATCCCCTGATGTCCGGCACTCTGGCCACGGTGCGTGTGTTGTTGCGTGATCGGACCCTGCAGGGACAGGTGGCCGGCCGGAGCTCCTCGGCGGCAGGGCCCATGGGCACGTCTTTCTTCGCGCCGGCGGCCGGTGGAATGTCCTCGGCCGCGGCCGCTGTCCATGCGGCTGCCGAGGAGGGCTTCGGGCCTGGGGGGCGCTTCTTCTCCGCGGCTACTGCTGCCGCTGCTGCCGAGGGACCATTCCCAGGGGCGGACCATCCGGCGCGGCGGCAGCCGAAGCTGGGCCATGGGTCCGGCAGTTCGGCCGAGGCAGATCCCCCTCCGGCCGATCGGTCCCTGCTGGCGGCCATGGCATCGATTCTCCTTGCCCGGGTACTTGGCTTGTTGCTCGACTTGCCGCTGGTGCATCGGGTAGTGGCCCGGCCGCCACAGCTCCAGCGGCCAGCCGATGTCACCGGGACCGCGGGATCTAACCATTGGTCGGACGATGTGTCACTCTCGATCGAGGGTACGTCATGCCATTGGGCTCGGGCCGGGCTGCTCGCTGTCGCCCCCCCCCCCCCCCCCCCCCCCCCCCCACACATGGGCCTCCTTGCGCACGATGTGGAGCACCCCTAACCACCGGTCGGAATAGGTCTCTTGCGTCTGCTCATCCGCGATCGCCGGCGCCTGGTGGCCGCACGCCGGCACACATATGCAGCCAACTCGCCCCATGTCGACCTCAGTCAGCCTGGTGCCGTGTCTGCCTTCGGCCAGGAGCGCCTGCGCGTGGTGGCCGCCTTCTTGATGATGCTCTCCCGGGTGGATCACCCCTTGGCATTGTCCGAGCCGATGCTCGAGGAGGATGAGGATGCCCTGGCCGGAGGGCACCGGCCCCGGGCGGCGCCCTGCGACTGTGACTTCCTGGCTGCCAGCAAGGCACACCGGTGCTCCGAATGCCCGGCACATGGGCCCTCAAACCGGGGTACCTCCTGTCCCAGCTTCTTGCGCGACTTTGTGCCCTGCTCCGAGGAGCAATGTGCCCTTTTTCTCAACCTACCCATGGCCGACCCTCGTAGCATGCAGCATTTAGAGGCTGTGCGCCTGGGCGGCCTGGCCGAGGGGTTGCCCGGGTTCCCGGTCACCCGCGGCGGCGCGACCGCCGACAGCGACGATGCCGGGGAAGAGCCGGGAGGGCACTTCCCCGGGCTGCTGCACGGCCGCTGGAGGCGCTTCATCGCGCGCTGGCCACTTGGCATCGTCCTCCTGGCCATGCGTCTTTTGCCGGCCATCGGTGCGTCTCATTCTTTCACATATGGCCCACATTCGCCATTGCCTGTGGGTGCCTCTCCCTCCGTCCCCGGGCCGTCGAATCCTCGAGGCCGTCGGTGGAAAGGAAAAAAAAGAAGGAAAACCGCCACACGGAGGCTCTGACACGTACACATGCGGGTGCACGCGCACCAGACCAGCCCTGCCGGGTGACTCTGCACTTCGGGCTGCGAGCAGTCCGCCAAGTGTTGGCCGCGTATGCATCGGTGCACCTCCTATGTGCCGGGGTGCTGGCGCAGTTGACATCGCTCCCCTCGCGCGGCCGATCCCAGCTCCAGTCCTTGCGCGGCAAGCGTGGCTGGCTGGCCACGGTCGACCGGGCCTGGCCGGGCCGCCCGGGGCCCGAGCCAACCGGGTACGCCTCGGCCCGCGCGAGCGATGCCCTGGCCGGCATCGGGCGCCTTCTCGCCAGCACTCTGTCCGCGATGATGGCCCTATTTGTGGCAGTCTCGCTGGATGCCGTGGTATAGGACACACATTCGCGGGCACACATCCCCTGTGCCCACATACACACACACACACACACATCAGCTTGTATTTGGTCCGGAGCCCGGGGAGGGGGGGGGCCCCTGTGTGTTTTCCTTCCCTCGGTGTTTTTTCCAATTGCGGGCGTACTCCCCCCCCCCCCCCATATGGGGCCCTGCCGCCTCCCTGCGCGAGGGCATGCTATTTCGATGCAGCGCGGTCACCCCTCCTTCTTTGCGCCCCCTGCCGGCGCGGGAAAATGGGGTGTCGGATAATTCAATTTTTAAAAATGAAGGGAAGAGAGGGGGCGGGAAAATGGGGGCTATAGAGGCGGGTGGGATCGAGGAAGCCATGGGGAAAGGCCACGCCGAAGGATAACACCCGCCTCTGGGCTTTCGCTCTCGCACACAATTGACTCGTTCAGTAACAATCCACAGCTATTTAGAGGCTGCGAGGAAGTGGCCACCCGGGACGCGGGCTCCCCGACTGGCGGCCCCGTCCTCAACCCGGTGAAGGGAAGTGGGCGGGAGCGCGCGAGAGGGCACTCAGCGCCTGCGCAGAAACGGGACACAGGGCACAGGCCTCCACCACACGGCGGCAGCCCCCTCCCCTGCGGGACCCCCACACCGGAGGGCAGGGGAAGGGGAAACGGACGCCGAGCGAGAGCGCGGCCAACACAGAAGTGGACTCATCCCGCTGCCAGGGATGCTGGCAGCAACCGGTCAGACCTTGGGTGCGATCGGGGCAGCGTACCGAGCACGGTCGCAGCAAAGAAGGGCACACACACACGCTCACCCATCCCCCCCTGAGGATGGCCTTCGAGCAGGGAGGCAGCACGCCACAGGAGCACGCGAAGATGGGCACATCCCCCGCAGACCGGCGCACGGGTATTGCAACAGCCGAAGGCCCAGTGGAGAAACGAAAAACTCGATTCCCACCAGGAATCGACCGTCTGGAGGCCCCCCATTCGCCGATCCGCGTGTGGACCGTATGTGCAAGGCGCCCGATCGCGGTCCCCTGCGTGTAGGTGCAGCTGCCCCGCCCTCCTGCTCTGGGCGCTTCTCGGGGGACGGAGGCGTGATGTGTGCGGGAATTTGCATGCGTGTGGGTGTGCTCGGACGTCGCCCCAACCGTCCAGGGCCTGGGCACGTGGGGAAGTGCCCCCCCACGAGAATGAGGCTCCTGTGGTGCACGAGGTGAGTGTGTGCCTGGGATCCGCCCCGGCCCCCTGGGAAGAGAGCAAGGGAAGACCCCGGGCGAGGGGGGTCCACAGGGGCACGGCCGTCTGGCGCCATGCGGTTGGGGGCGTGCTACGACGAAAAAGTCGCACCCGTCTGCGAAGGGCCAGCCGAGGAGTGCGCCCGGGCAGATGTCAACCCTGTTACCAGATTTAAGGAAGTGTGCTGAATGGGGATGTCGGGGAGGGGGGGGGGGGAGAGGAGGAGGGGGGACAGCGATGCGCATGGGCGTGTGCGCACGCACATGCATATGTGCTTGGGGGAGCATGCGTCGAGGCGGGGCATTTTCGCGGTGCTAAGAGAGAAAAGAGGTCCACTACTTTACCTGGCTACGAGAGCGTGCATCCACAGCCACACGCATATGTATATGCCCATGCACACACACACACACAGACGATCACGTATCCGCCTCGGGCAAGTGGGGGAGAAAAGCAAGGGGGCGGCGCAAGGCGGGGGGGG